ATGGATTCCAAAGACTTTAAAGGCAGTCTCACACCAGAGGATCTAGCAGAAATTGATGAACTGAAATGAAACTGAAAAGGTTTTGAAAGTAACAGTGAGTCAGAAAGTGAGAACGATGGCAGCAGTTCATTTGGGACAAATGAATCTTAAGGAGGGGGTAATGTTACAGTCTTTCCTTTTTCAATCTTATCTTCAGCAGCTATCTAATCATGGCATGTGCCTACTGTAGAACAAGTGTGCAGGACCACATGACTAACAAGTGGTAAATGGACTGTTCCAATGTTGCACTATGCATCATCACAAATGGTATGTATATCATGCTGCTAATGCATGCCCAATGGATTGTAGTACTGTTATTAGAATTCTGAACATGTATATAAGTAGTAGCCTCTGCTGGCCTTAACTCCAGCTTTGGCTAAGGTTTAATCTACCCAACTTGCTAGAAACTCCATGCTTCATGACTATCTAAATCAGTTCACCTGCTCATCCACCCAACATTGCCTACATTGAGAACGATCCACTGAAGTGCGAGTGGCATTTCTTTGTTTGACATTGTTTGGTGAGTTGGTGGCTAACAAGCACCAAAAACACATCCACAAAGTTCTATGCAGACTCTAAGCCAACAGCCTCTACTGCAAGGGTTCAAAGTGTGAATTCCATTAGGACTCCATCAAATATCTTGGTTACATCCTCTCACCCAAAGGCTTATACATATTCAAAGACAAGGTCAAAGCTATTACTGACTGGCTGGTTCTGTAAAAGGTCAAGAATATCTAATCATTCCTTGGTTTCACTAATTTCTACCACTGTTTTATTTATGAGTACAGTGAGATTGTCCTGCTCTTAACATGACTCACTCACAAAGGTACTCCATGGAAATTTGACAATGAATGCCTATTGGCTTTCAATGAGTTAAAGCAGGCTTTTACTCATGCACCTATTCTTATCCACTGGCTTCCTGACCACTAATTGGTTGTGGAAACTGATGCTTCTGACTATGCTATTGCTGCCATCCTATCCATCTACCTTGATGATGGCAAGATCCATCTAATACTCTTCTTGTCCCAGAGTCTCCACAGTGCTGAACTCGACTACAATACACATGATAAAGAGCTTTTAGCCATCTTCAAAGCTCTCAAATATTGGTATCATTACCTTAAAGGCTCCATGGATGCTGTTGATGTTGTTACAGACTAAAAGAACCTTGAATACTTCTCTACTACCAAGATTCTTACTCAATGTCAAGTGCACTGGTTCAAATTTCTCTCCAAATTCAACCTTGTGATTCAGTTTCAACTGGGTAAACTTGATGGGAAACTGGATGCCCTTACTAGACAATGGGATGCCTACCCTAAAGAGGGGGATAGTCAATATGCTCAAGTCAACCCTCATAATTTCTGACCTGTTTTCACCCAAGAACAACTCTCTGCTTCCCTCTGCACTACATTCCTTGAAGGCCCTGTCTTACATGCTAATGCCATTATGGACATTGACAAGCTCCACTCTGATATCAAGAATGCACAGCCATTGGATTCTGCTGCTGCTGAAGGCCTTCAACTCACACCCTCTCCTTCCAACCCCTCTTGGTGGTCCGTGGATGCATCAGGACTACTACATCTTGACAGTTGCATCTATGTTCTAGATTCCAATGACCTCCATCTTCATCTTCTCCAAAATGATCATGACCACATCCTGGCAGGTCATTTTGGCCAAAACCAGACTCTTGAACTTGTCCAATGGCATTATACCTGGCCACAGATGTGTGAATATGTTTGCCACTACATTAAATCTTGCACTATCTGTAGATATAACAAAACACCTAGACACCATCCTTTTGGCTTACTCAAACCCTTGCCAGTCCTGAAACACCCATGGGATTCCATCTCTATGGACTTCATCAAACAATTACTGGATTCCAACAGATTCACCACTATCCTCATAATGGTCAACCACACAAGTAAGCAAGCAATTTTCATTCCCATTTATAACACCATCAACTCTGAGGAGCTTGCCTGGCTATTTGTCACCCATATGTTCACTAAGCATAGTGTTCCCAATCATATAACCTCTGATCATGGCTTTGAATTTGTCTCTCAGTTCACATGGGCTCTTGCCAAAGCTTTGGATATGGAACTTCACTTCACTTCCAGATATTACCTGGAGGTCAACAGACAAACTGAACATGCTAATCAAACTCTGGAACAGTACATTTGCATCTACTGCTTCTATCAACAAGTCAATTGGGATACCTTACTACCTATTGCAGAGTTTGCCTACAACAATGCTCCCAACACTTCCACTGGAATCTCTCCATTCTTTGCTAACAAAGGCTACCATCCCAACATCACTGTGCATCCTGAATATGATATCGCCTCTGCCTGGGCCCATAACTTCATTGTTAACCTCAATGAGCTTCACCAATTCCTTCATGATAAAATTACTCATGCTCAGTCTTTACAAAACAGTGAGATAAAAGAAAACAAACCTCCTCAGTGCATGAACTTGAAGTAGCAACTGAGGAGAAAGGAAGAAGGAGGCTATGTATATAAAAGTCTGTAGAGATCATGTGAGACTTGTGTGATCTCCAACGTGGTACGTGTCAATTCCATTGAATAAGCCTTCTACCTCCAACACTTAGCATTCTTTATAGGTTTTAGAGTAGCTCAGATTTCTTAACACTAAAAAATTGTAGAAAGATATTCATTTTTATATTCTGGTTAATATTTCTTTCTGCTTTGGAGCTTTTATAGGCAAGAATGCCATGTGTAAAGAAGAATCATGTCAGTTTACATTCTGAGAAATTCTTTCACCCACATAGCTTCTCTGGCTTTGTTTCATGCTTTTATATTGAGAACATCTAGTCCTCCTTAGTCTCTCAGTGATTTGAGTGTTTCAAAATTGACTAAGTTTTTTAATTTGTCCTTCCCAGATAAATTTGCATTCTCTTTTTTCAAAATTTTTTTCAACATGCTTTAGCATGCCTTGAACCACAGTTAAGTACTGCATCAGACCTTCTATAACTGTTTGGATAATGATACATCAGTTAGGGACAAAAAGATGTCAATATTTTGGATTACTGGGGACTATGCTGTGTCATCAGGAATCTCATTTCCAAACTATGCTCCTAAAATGTATATAGCTTCATTTTCCTTGACAATGACAATGTTTTCCAGAATTTGCTTAAAGTCATCTTTCATCTTTTATTCTTCAATTACTTTAAGATGGAACTCTTTGCTTCTGATTGAGATTATTCATGTTTTTGTAATATTAAAGCATGCACCACTCACTGGGCACTATTCATCTAGAAGTTTCATGAGGCTGTCAAAATCATTATCTTTATATAGAAAGGTGATAGTATTATCTGCAAAGAGTTTAGCTATTAATCACCCTTTGGATCCTGGTACTTCTAATATTTTTAGATCAGAGTTGTATAGCATCTCAGCAAGTAATTCTATAGCTAGGTCAAATAAAAGACAGTACAGGGGGTCACCTTCTTGAACTTCACATGTGACCTTAAAGGGTGAGCTGAGAAACCCATTCACTATTACTTTTCTTTGTTATCTGGCATTCAGGGATGATGTTAAGCACTAACTCTAATCTGAACCAAAGTTGGTCTCTATCCTGTCACTCACATTTGGTGATTCAGTGTTAGAGAGGCATTGGTAGATTGCGAGAAGTTAGGTATTACTTATAGTGAAAGCAAGAAGCTTGTAAGAGTTAGGAGTATATAACCTTAGCTGAAGCTGGGGTCTAAGGCCACAGCATAGGCTAGCTTAAATACATGTTAGACTCGTACTAAGAATAGTACCTACAAGAGCATGTGCAACAAGAAGTGCGCCTTTCAACGAATGAGAAGTGAGAGCACTAAAAGAAGTGCACCCCTGACAAATGAGAGTAAAGAGCGCATATCACCTGCATCTGTGTGGGACTCCATCTGAATAGGCTGCATCCCATAGACTACCCTCAACTAATGGTCGACTCCTGTCCAACTACTAAAAAGCATGATGCCATCAAGAGAAGCATGATAGTGCATGTGGGTTGTTGGTCATCCGGGATGTGGCAGCTGTAAACTGGGGTGGCGGCAGCCAGGTAAATGGGTAAGGAGTGTGCCGGCGGAATATTATGGGTCTGAGAGATAAGATAGGTAGGTCTGGGGTTTCAAGGGATAAGGATAAGATAAGATAAGGAAAATAGGGGTAAAGTCATAATAGATGAAGCCTGTCTTATCTGTGTAAATTAATTCTAGGGCTGAGCATACCAGCTTGATAGAGAAAGCTTTAGTAATCAGTTTATATTCTGAGTTCAAGAGGGTAATTAGCCTATAGTTCAACCTCAGGTTTTGATCCTTCTTTTTATAGATTAAACACATTCATCTCAGTGAAATTTGTTGATTCATCTATGCCAAACTCTTCAATGTCAAACTTAAAATACTTTTTTTATTCATCCTCAATAAATCTGTCATTGAGGATCTTGAAAAACTTGTTGGTTGCTCTGTTTATTCCAGGGACAGGGTTGTTTTTTTGATAGTTTTAGTAGTCACAGAGCTTCTTCAAAAGTCATTTTCTGTTTAAAGTGTAGCTTGTTTTCTTCAGAAGGTCCCACTTTTATATTAGAGTTGAGGATAGTCTTCAACATTTTCTCTTGAGCTTCCTCATTTATTCTTTTTGGAGGGTGTCACCATGATATTCTCACATCATTTCTGCCATATTCAGAAAGTAGCTTTTGTATTTAGGCTGGGAGATGTCTGGCTTTCTTCACTCTGTTGGGTTGTTGGATTTTCCTGGTTCAGGTTTGGTAGACTTGTAGCTATGGTTGAGCTTAGGATTTCGAGTATGTATATCATGTCTCATGGTTTGGATTCCTTATTTGTCTGAAAGTAGTACTTCAAAACCACTTCTCCCTCTAGGCAGTCTTTTGCTGCAATGAAACAGTGAGCTGAGATGCTTCTTGTTTAATTTCTCATAGTTCTTTCTTAAGTATAGCTAGCTTCTCTGAGCATATCAATTCATCATGTAGATTCTGTTTATACATGACTGGTATATTCTGATGGCTTTTTTGCTTGATCCTTGGATTTGCACATTTTTTGTACAGCTATATGTAAAGTCTTTGTCAGGAAAGATACTGTGCCAACCATCTTGTAGCCTCAGTAGCTCTTTGAGATTGTGAAAGGTGGTTTGAACTTCTATATTGTTTGTCCACATAAATAGGTGGTTAATTGTATCTTCAACAAAGTTCATGTTGCTCTCTATATAGTCAGGTCTTTAATCTAGATTTTTCATGAAAAAATTATATAGTATTCTAAAGAACTCTATGCTTTTTCTTGCATCATCTGAGGTGACATTTAGGGCATAAATGCCTAGAATTGTTATAGTTTTTTTTAATACTATTTTGTTTTCAATAGCATTACTTACCCAGGGATAACAATCCTTGTCTGGATGTGTTTCCAGAGTGTTAGTTGTTTATTTATGACTATTGCAACACTGCTTTTACTTGCTAGATTTTTTGAGTTTGTTCCAAAGCTGATTTTCATTCTGCAGGCAAAAAGGTTCTCCAATTCATCTCTTCATCATTCTGTCAGATGAGCTCCTGAGACTATTAGAATTCCTGTCTTTATATTTTGGAGGAGTTGGTTTATATGGCTCCATTTGCTGCTTTGGGCACTATTACCCAAACCAGCATTATTAAATCTATTTATATTCAACCATGAGACTATGATAGCAGACTTCAATTCTTCTAGGTCTTTGCTTGCCTCTCACATGAGTCACATCTATTGGTCAAAGGCTCATTCAGCTGACTACTATCTATTCAGAGAGGTTGTTTTTGTCAAGGTGATTCATTCTTATTAGTAGAACCAGGTGGAAGATAGCATGGCTTGCCTTCTCTCTGGCATATAGCATGGCCACTCTTACTATTTAGAATCTTGTCTAAGGGGGGACTTAAATCATGCAAGTTTGTCAAAAAGCTCGACATGCATCTATGATTGTTATATCTTCAATGTCTATCACTGCTAACTTGCATGATTGTATTCTGGTTTGTATATAATATAGATTGGAATGCAGCTGGCATATTCCTATCATTGTCTGGGAGACTATGTGACATTAGATCAACCACACCATTCTCCAGGAATTTTAAAGCTGGTTTCTCACTGTCATTACCACACTACTGTCTTGCATAGAGGGATAACCAGTAGGTATATCAGAGCCTTGACTGCATAGTGTGAGGCTGGTACTATAATGACTCATATTATAGTTTGTAGTATCTCTATATTCCAAACTGTTAGTAGTGCAGTTAATTCACATACTGGATTTGCCAAACCACTGGCATGTTAGATGAATCCACTTGCTCATACCTTCCCTAGTGAGAGGGAAGACAACACAAGTAGTTTAGACTCCATCAGGTCCTGTTGGAGACAGTTGTATCACCTCTCCCTGCTTAGCAGTCTAACTTATCACCACTAAGCTGTCAGTAATCAAAATAAAAAAATGCTCATCTCTCCAGTCTCACTCCAGATTCCACTATACTTAGCTTGAGGCTCATTGAGATTGAACTAATGGAAAAAAGAATCTCTATTCAAAGCAACATGTTACATTGAGTGACAATTAAATGGTGAGTGGACTACTGCTTTTTACCATGTCTAACTACTTTCCAATTGTCATTGAAGTTCTTTCCATGCTTGGAGCAACCATCTGACTTTTCACTGCCCTCCTTCTATTTCCAGCCTAGATTCTTGGGAGGTTCTGATTTTATCATGGAAAGTCAAAGTTCCTCAGTAATAGAGTCATATCATGTTGAGTCTATTCTGGAGAAGAGGCAGGCATGGCTCAGATGGTTTTGATTCCTGCACTAGTTGTAGTTGATACTTTTGTCTATGTTTAGGAGTTGTTGATAGTTAATACAGACCCTGAGTCTTTGGATATGGACTGTGAGCACCCAATAGAGATTGAGATTGTCAGTAATAGATTTGCCCATGAGTATGAATACTGACCCCTTGTCATTGTCAAGATTCTTTATCTCAACATAGAAGATGCTAGCATTGTGTCATCCTGATGGTAAACTTAACTGGGTTTTCAAAATTACCCTGAGCCTGGATGATGTGTTGCAGAGATATATCACATCAAGCTGCTAATTTGAGACAGGCTAGGGCTTCAGCTATGAGAGGAGCATCATTGTGAATGATGTTTCCTTGGAAAGCAGTGATAACCCACATGAGAGCTTTGGGGTTGAATGGGACAAAGTTCCATACTATTCATAAGAGGATGGCAAAACATTAATGTCACAGCAGGAATGTAATGAAGTCAAGCCTTTCTCCTTGTTTCTTCTTCTTTTTTCCTCTTTTAATTCCACTGGGTAGAAAGCTGTGATAGTGCCTTTGTCTAGGATGTGTAACCCATACGGATTATGCATTATATACTGCTATTTACCTAGACCATTAGATACTTCCATGGATCTCGAACAGATCAAGATCACTTATCTTCTTGACTAGTTATGTTCTTGTTCGTACCGCAACAGAGTTGATTCCTATTCTGTTGCATATGTTCAGTGTTCCCAGCTACAGCCTGGGTTCCACTTTTTTTTTGAATACTGTTCAACTCTGTACTTTCTGTCCTGATGACTGCTATTTCTGTGTTGAATGCAGAAAGGCATGCCGAACACTGACAAAGAACTTCTGTCCCCAACAAATGGCGATACCCATGTGACACCATCCCCAGAACTTGATACTAGCTTGTGATATGTCCCTCCCGACCCGCCAACAGTTTTTCTATAAAGGCAGACACCCTATTTCGCGAGACCCCACTTCTCTTGACTATCAACTACCACCTACATGCATGCTGGCACTGATTCTCAGAGCCCTGCCCCACTGTGCTATCCAACCCGACTCTGAGGAGATTCCTGTTTCCCCAGAGAGTTCACTACCATCATTGACACCTTCAACGAATGACATCGATGACAGAGACCAGATGCCAGAAGGCACTGCTCTGCCTGTACCACACATCGATCTCGCAGCACACGAAAGAGAGAGATATCTAGCTGCATTGGCATGGTCACCTAACTAGTCACCGACTCGGATCAGCACGCATATAGCCACATCCAGTATGCATATAGCCATCTCAGCAGACCTGCCCAGTGAAGAAATCAACAAGGACAACTTTGACGACCTCCCTGATCTTATCCCCATCACAGACAATGAGGATGACTCCTTCTCAGATGATGAGACCTCTTCAGACAACGATGATGATCAAGGTGGTTGTTCACTCTTGTCCTCAGATACCGATAATGACCCTGCACCTCCTGCTGCACCAGCCATTCCTGCAAATGCAGATTCTGCTGATTCTGACTCTGACTCTGATTACTCTTTTGTCAAACATTCTCGCTCCTGTCCCCATCCCCTAGCTTTTACCATGTCGATGGCTGCTACAGTAGAGCAAAACTTGTGCACTGAGGCTCCAATTCTACATCCCGGTGTGTACACTATTGATATTCTCAATGACTTTGTGGAAGCCTTCAAGAAGGCAATGAAATCCTGAATTCAACTCAAATCTGCTTGGGATGAGGCTCCGCTCGTTGATTGGATGTGGGAGTAATGGTCTGCAGTGCTAACGAGAATTTGGTGGGCCTGGTGAGTTACCTCGACATGGATGACATGCGTCTGCATCTTGAGGAGCATATGAATGATGATCTGGCCAAGGCATATCTCAAGGCAAACCATAAAGGGGAGCTTGCCAATCTCAAGGATATCGATAAGTGGATTGAGAAGGTTCACTTGCTTGACAAAGATATTCACAAGGAAGCTTCATGCGGGAAACACTTGTTCAAGGTGCTATTGGCAGAGAACACAACACAGACTTCAGGCAATGCAACGTCAGTGAATAAGGTGGCCAGGATGACTCATGCGCAGACCATGGCTTCATCCAACCCTGACTTGTCCACTGCTACATCTGACACCAAACTTTCATCCAATCCAAAGGGATGCCCTCCATGCCTGACTGATGCAGAGAAGGAGCTGCTGATAAAGCACCTTGGCTGTTTTGTATGTCGTCAGTTTTACACTGACCACATTGGCTCCAGTTGCAAAACTGGTAATCCTGACCCTACCACCTACAAGACACTCACTGAGGCCAATGCGCTTGCTGTGAAAGCCATGTATGAAGCACAGAAAAAGACCTTCATAGCTGGTATGCATGCTCATCAGGGAGAGTCTTCCGCTCTTTCTGATGATGAGAATATGATTGGGGATTCTTCAGATGCCTCTGCTGGCAATGAGTACATTGATCCCTCCAAAATTTCCTCCCCTGCCTTATCTTCTGCAGTACCTGTGCAGGTGCTTATTGACCATAGTTCTCCCACAGTTTTGATTAGTGCCAAGTTCGCCATCCGACTAGCTTTGAAACAACGCAAATTGACAAGACTGATTCCTTTCTCTTCAATACTGGATTCCTCCACCGCTCAGACCCTCAATAAATGTGTACGCTTCAGGATTAGCAAGAACTCTTGGACTTCCCATAGAATATTCGCCATGATTTGTCCTACTCTCCACTGCGACATCATCTTAGGCACACCCTTTCTGTACTGTAATAATGTAATCATTGACCATGGAAGCCATTCTGCATTCGCTGCTGGGTCTGACATCAACCTCTTGGATTCAAGACACCCTTTGAAGACATCAATGGTCCCCTTCATGTCCCCACAAGAAGCTCACTTAACAGCTGTGGAGGAACGTAAACATGCAAATAAGGAGGTCCTGGCCATCAGAAAGGCTCTCCAAGTTACATGTGCACCTTTGCTCCATGAGCTGGAATCGTTGTTTGTCTCCTCAGGCTTGCATGAAAGGATGCATCCCTTTACATCAGAATGTGACCTACCTTGCAGGGTCGCTGCCCTGCACACGAGGATCTCTTCCCTGGCAGAGGAAGAGAAGTTGAGCTCACTAGATACCAAAGCTAAGACCAGATTTGCGGATAGATTCCCAACCGAACTTCCCCATGTAACTGAACTGCCTATGACCGTCTACCACTGGATCTTGATGTGTCCCCATACAAAGATATCTGTTTCTAGGCCATACTCTTGTCCTTGGAAGTATCATGAGGCCTGGAAGACCCTTATTGATCAGCATGAACAAGCAGGGAGAATCCAACCCTCTTCTTCAGAATATGCTTTGCCATCATTCATAATTCTTAAGGCGGACCCCACTGTACTTCCACGTTGGGTTAATGATTTCTGCTTGATAAATGCTGCAATGATTCCGGACAATTACCTGATGTTCTTGATTAGCGATATCCTCACTGACTGTGGCAAGGGTAGATACTGGGGAAAAATTGATATGATGAACTCATTCTTCTAGACTTTGGTACATCCGGATGATGTGAAATACACTGCTACACTCACACCATTTGGGCTGTGGGAATGGGTAGTGTGTCCTGACTCCATTGACTGAAAAACACTGTGACCACATGTTCCCAACATGGAAGGGCAAGCACCAGGCTGCCTTCGATGCTATCAAAAGGCTGATGGTGGGTGTGGAATGCCTCACAGTCATCAACCATGAGAACCTGGGTGACAATAAGATTTTTGTGACCTGTGATGCGAGCAAACGTCGCACAGGTGCTGTTCTCAGTTATGGAAAGACTTGGGAGACTGCTCGTCTGGTGGCTTTTGACTCAGTGGCCTTCAAAGGGGCATAGTTGAACTACCTGACGCATGAGCAGGAGCTCCTCACTATCATTCGGGCTCTCAAGCATTGGCATGTGGACCTTCTGGGTACACACATTCATATTTTCACCAACCACAAGACATTGCAAAATTTCGACACACAAGCTGATCTGTCTAGATGCTAGGTTTGCTGGATGGAATTCTTGGCTCAATACGAGTACACACTGCACTATGTAAAAGGGGAGGACAACACCGTCGCAGATGCCTTGTCTAGGATGCCAGTCGACGATGAACCTTCCGATTTCCCTTCGGACTTCGCTGCTGTGTTCACTGTCCAGTCTGACCTCGAGATCTTGCACAAGATCAGACTCAGCTATGTGGTGGATCTGTTCTGTTCCAGACTGGTGTCTGATATAGAGAATGGGTTAGCACCCTTGAATGCGATGTTAATGGATGGCCTGGTCTACCTGGGAGACTGGCTCATCATCCCTCGCTTGGATGGCATCCCTGAACAGCTGTTCGCACTGGCGTATGATGCTCTCAGGCATTTTGGAGGGGATAAGTTGTACACAGCGATCAGGAATTCCTATTATTGGCCTGGAATGAGAAAGGACCTCCTGGAATCCTATGTTCCCTCCTGCTCATCATGCCAGCGCAACAAGTCTCAGACAAGCAAAGTCAATGGACCTCTGCATTCACTGTCTATCCCTGATGCTTGCTTTGATTCCATCATGATTGATTTCATTGGGCCCTTGCCATCTGACAGCAACGTGGATGGTATCGTGACAATGACTGATTGCCTGGGTGTGGATATCCAGATTGCACCTTGGAAAACAACCAACACTGCAGAGGATTTTGCACGTGTGTTCTTTGACCATTGGTACTGCGAGAATGGGATGCCTGCGGAAATAATCAGCGACCGTGATAAACTCTTTGTATCCAAATTTTGGAAGGCATTCACTAGATTATCCGGAATCAAGCACAAGATGTCAACTGCATGGCATCCCCAGACTGATAGTGCCTCGGAGAGGTCTAACAAAACCGTCGTGCAGGCGCTCCATTTCTATGTTGACCGAAATCAGAAGGGCTGGTGTGCCAAGCTCCCTCTTGTATGATTCACTATTATGAACACTGTTAACGCTTCCACTGGGTTCTCACTGTTTCAGTTAAAAATGGGTCCTTTACCATGCATAATCCTACCTCTGGTCATACAACCAGGTGTTGATGTTCCCTTCAATGCTAAGGCTTTTGCACAAAACCTCGACCTTGATATTAAGGAAGCTGCTGACTCCCTATTGACTGCCAAAACTTAGCAGTCCCACTTTGCTAATAGATCAAGAGTGCCCGAAATCGTATACAAGATTGGTGACCATGTAATGTTGTCCACTACAAACCGAAGACAGGAGTATGCCCACCGAGGTTCAAAGCGATGTGCAAAATTCATGCCAAGATTCGACAGCCCCTTCACAGTCCTCGATGCAAACCCTATGACTTCCATGTACACACTGAATATACCCTCCTCCAGCATTCATCTGACCTTCCATGCTTCACTTCTCAAGCCGTATTATTTGAATGACTCTGAACTTTTCCCAAATCACGAACATCCTAGACTGGGACTAATTATCACCCCTGAAGGAGCAGAAGAGTATGTGGTTGAGAAAATCATGGATGCTCGACACTGGGGTAGAGGATGGCAGTATCTGGTGCATTATGTTGGTTATGGGCCCGAGGAGAATGAATGGTTGCTGGGTGCAGAACTAGAAGACAATGAGGCTCTCGATTGTTGGCTTGAGGAAAACCCGAGATGATGGAGCAATTTTTTGAAGTATGGGTGGGTGTAACCCATATGGATTATGCATTATGTACTGCTATTTACCTAGACCATTAGATACTTCCATGGATCTCGAACAGATCAAGATCACTTATCTTCTTGACTAGTTACATTCTTGTTCATACTGCAACAGAGTTGATTCCTATTCTGTTGTGCATGTTCAGTGTTCCCAGCTATGGCCTGGGTTCCAGGATGTCATTCTCTTTTGAGGAATTCTATGAGAAGAAGGTCAGCTTACATGTTTTTAGCATAGAATTTAAGTCTGGTGCTATAGGGAATTGCTACAATGAAGGAATTAGGGGAGGCCACAATGTCATTCTGGAGGTCTTCTGAGAATCCTGCAGTGAGGTGGTTCCAGGGTATGTATACTTTTGGGAAAGTGATGTGGCAGTACATATTGCTGTGCCTGTGAAATTGATATCATGAAACATACTGACATGTCTTTTCTTTTTCAGTTCTTTGTCTCTTTCTTCTTTTTCTCATGATTGGTTATTCACAATACAAACAATGATACATAATAACATACTCAAGGCATAACACTGTATGAGAGGCAGCTGTTAGGATTGTGCCAATAGGAATGTGGCAGAGAGTGCACATAGCGCGAAGCTATGGAATATGTCAGATATAGGCAAAGTTATTAGCAATGTCACCCCTGAGCCAAAGCCCTAAGATGAATATGGACAGAAGTCCATGGAGTGACAGAGACAAGGTAAGAGATAAGTCCAACAGATCAGAGTTCCACAGACTGTAGAACTAGAGTTTTGACTTAAGAGTCAGAGAGGGAGAGAGAGAGTTGGGCTGAACCAAGTTGATATTCAAACTGAGTATCTATAATGTAATTCTACAGTTTATATACTAGCTAGAAGTCTGATCTAGTTCCTACTCAGTGTGGTCTACATTTTAGGGTGGTCAGAAATTGTAGTCTATTAGTCGGTAGCTGATGGAGTCTGATGATATGCTATGCTACTGATGTTGGGCTTTTGATAAATTAAAACAGAGAGATGAAATATAAAATGGAATATGAAATAGGAACTAGGAATTGAGATCTGTAGGATTCCAGAATGTGGTTTGTTGGAGTTGACTTAGAATCAGAGTTCTGTTAGCATGCTCATTACAGCAGCTCTTCTTAACAATAATCAAGCTTCTCAATTGAAGGATGATAGTAGTTTGGACTATGGTGTCATTTACTAGTTCCATTACATTCTTTCTTTATTTACTTTTCTCAGTTTCAATCTCTCCTAGCTATTATTCTAATTTCTCTATCTTATTTTCTCAAAATATTATTTTCTCAAACCATTATTATCCTACTGTACCCACCAGATGTGAGGACAAGACTGTAATGGCTGTAACCATCTTGGACTGTACTAAGGATTAAGATTATGATAGATTGATGACCTGTTTATCTGCACTGAGGGTAGCAGTGTGCTCTCTGTTGAGGGTTCAGTTATCCTGTTTTTTTTTTGTTTTGCACCTCAGTCTTTTACCACTATACAAGTGAAGACTGAGGTGCATTTTCTTACTTATAACTTTACCTACTTAATTTCTGATATACTATTTATTAGATTGGTGTATCTTAACAGATTATATGGCTCTGTTGCTTATTCCTGTAGATTGTGATCTACAACACCAAGCACTTGTTTAACCAAACATATTCTGAAGACTCAAAGCAACCTTTTGGGACCTAGATTTGGCTCTCATATCAATTTGTCCTAACATAAAATTTTTTTTGACTACTCCTATAAAATTTTATTAAAATATCTTCAATCTTCAGTTCTGCCCAGCTCTTACTGTTCAAGCTCAATGAGAGCAAAAAATTTAACAGAGAATTGGGCTGCATTTGAGATGATAATGATGACTGAGAGAGGACTGTGAGAGCTTATTAATTATTGGGAAAATCATGTTACAATACTAGAATCACTACTATTGCTATTTACTGTTGCATCTCTGCTTAGCAGCCTCAAACCCAATGAGTATGAGTATGCCCAATAATGTTGGAAATCAGGAATACAAGCATAGAAAAAGCTTAAAAAGTGGTTGTTGTGGTGGTCAAAAGGTGAGTCATTAAGATACTAAATGTCATGTAATCTAGTAGTTAGCAGCCCAAATATAGTATGAGTATATACCAAGTTCAATCTCCAACAAATGAGAGAGCTATGCCCTCTCATTCATTATCCACAATATAATTAATGTATTTGGATTTAGGCTGAATATGCAAGGAACTTCCCATGAGGCCTGAACACACCTAAAGACTCAGTATGGAGCACACTCAGACCTCATATGCAACTGGCAGGAGAAGATTCTATGAGGAATGCTGTATAGGGTGGGTGACAAAGTATCAGGTGATAAAGATTATATTGAGAAGATGCAACACTTACTCAAGGAGGCTAATGACACTGGAGCTGCTATAAAGGAGGAATCCTTTGTTATCATCCTTCTAGACTCCTTTCCCGAATCATGGGATTCTATCGTAAGCATTCTCTATGGTGAAAAGAATCTCCAGATCATTATAGTACAACTGTCTGCTCATGGAGAATAGTTGGCTAGCCAGGGAAGGATCTTCATGGATCCTAGTAGTTTGATGACTGACATCTAACCAAGCACTCCAAGTGATCATCAATGCACTCACAATGCAGGTCTCTTCCTGTGAATGACCACTGCAAAAATGTGGGACACATGATAGATGAATGCTGGAAAATTGGTGGAGGGAAAAAGAGATGCACCAGTCTCTTCTGCAAACCTCACTCAGATAAACTGGGAATCAGAATCCATAGGATTCTAGGATGTAGTTTGTTGGAGTTGAGTCGAAAGTCGGATTTCTGTCAGCATGCTTGTTACAGTTTTCCACTTATACTCTGCTCAAA